AGCAGGAACTCAACCACAACCTTTTGGACGCACTGATAATCTTTCCAGTTTCACACAATAGTTTGCAAACCATGTGAAACGGTTCCTCTTCATCTGTTGGTATTTTTTCTGATCTACTTACAGAGGATCGCTTCCGGTTCGTTCCGAAGAATTCGCAACTGCTCCATGAAATCCGGAGCTATCAATCCTTTCTGGGAGTTCCGTTTGAAGCTATTCAAGTCTTCCTGAAGCTGCCATCTTCTCCGGAAACTCGTTTCTCCTCTTTGAAATCACGCACCCTTCCCTCGACCCAGTCCTGGATTTGGCGAGTTTTCTCGACAGCCTCATCCATCAGACACTCTGAGATTTTTCTGGGCATGTTGTCGAAGTAGTTGACGACGACTTTACGCAGTTCAAGGTCCTTGGAAAAATTGAGCTTTGAGCTCTGTCGGGGCACCATAGCCCTGGAGATTCTGCCATCTAAACTCGAGACAACATTCTTCATCTTCTTCAATGGATTCTTCATATCGTCAATACACGAAAAGAGAAGCAAAAGACAGGCTTTTGAGAACCTGAGATTGTAGTTCGCTGAGGATGGAATGGAACTGAGAGTGTCCAATAAAATGTATATATTGATACGGGTCCCTCCGATTTTCCACTTTTATTCAACGATCCCATTTTCCTTTTTTTTTGGGATTTGCAAAATATTCCCGATTTTTGGTCTCTCTTTGTGTTTCCATTTGAATGTCGACGATTTAGAAAATAATATAATACTACGAAATGAAAACTTTCCACTAGGAATGTAAAAAATGAGTTTGATTCACGGATTCATTCGCTAGTTAATTCATATTTTTTCGAGTCCAATTTAGAATATTTGAATCCAGAAAAAAACAGACTAAACGAATCACTCCGTCATAAAATCAAATTTATGGCGAATCAGCTCGGCGATCCCATGGATTGGTTCGCGGGTTGGAAAAAAATATTTTTTTACACAAATTATATGGCCAGCCCGTTTTACATCCTACTTTCCACGGAATTAACTATGAACAAGCAATTGTTAATAAACGTTTAATATGGAAAGAAAACGTCAATTTAAAAGCTGGGAGGAAAAAAAATCAAAGAAATGGAAATCGGGCGGTATGGGCAACGTCTACCGTATTTTCAATTTGTGAGGTTCCATTAGAAATAGATCCAATGGGCCTCAGTTTGAGCATATTTCTAAACAAAATAGGCCCATTGGGCCTATATGGAGGACCCTATCAGATCAGAGCCATTGATCAGTCACCTATCCCCCCCATCCGCCACCGCCAACCGTCGCCGAACTTTGATGGCTACTCTCCTCCTGCTTCGTGGCTATGTCTCTCTCCCTGAGAAACTCCATTAAAGCTCCTCCCATCTATCTCCGACTTCACTGTCTCTTCTCTACTTCTTCTTCCTCCTCGTTTGATTTCAATGGCGCATTCTCCTCCACGTCAGCGTGGCTACTCTTTCTCGGTGGACCAGGCGGAATCGGCGGATGGAAAACGCTGGACCGGAAGAGTTACGGAGGACGAGGAGGAGGAGAGCAAGTGCGGATTCCTCGTGGTAGCTCTCTGTCCTTGTCTCGTTTGCTTCATTCTTCTGCTTATCATCGTCACTATCGTTCTCAATGTCAAGTTCCACCTTTACTGCCACACGCCTCTGCGTTCTCTATTGTTCAAGAAGAGTTGCCATTGATTGCTAGGCGTGTGGTTCTGGAGTGTAGAGTCTGTTCGGAATCGTTCATTACGGATCTAGGTTTTAGAGGTTTCTGTAGCAGTTCTGATGATAGTGTAGAATGTGGCCATGAGTTTGGATCTGAAGACGACAAGGGTGATGACGACGATGATGGTGAAATTGGGGTCAATCGTGTTGATTCTTGTGCTGATCCCGAAGAAGTAGAGAGAGTCTGCAAGGTGATTGATGAATTGTTTGCATTAGACAGAAACATGGAGGCTGTTCTTGATGAAATGGGGATAAATCTGTCACACGATCTGGTGGTAGAGGTTTTAGAACGGTTTCGGCACGCCAGAAAGCCGGCATTTAGGTTGTTCTGCTGGGCAGGGGAGAAAAAGGGATATGCCCATGATTCAAGGACATATAATTCTATGATGAGTATATTGGCAAAAACTAGACAGTTCGAGACGATGGTTTCTTTGCTAGAGGAGATGGGTGGGAAAGGGCTTTTGACGATGGATACGTTTACCATCGCGATGAAAGCATTTGCTGCTGCAAAGGAGAGGAAGAAAGCCGTGGGAATCTTCGAATTGATGAAGAAGTACAAGTTCAAAATCGGTGTGGAAACGATTAATTGTTTGCTAGATAGTCTTGGAAGAGCTAAGCTTGGAAAAGAAGCTCAGGTCCTGTTTGATAAGTTGAAAGAGCGGTCCACACCCAACCTAAGGACATACACAGTTATG